TAGTTATTAGCATATCTAAATGCATATTTTAAGATGACTTGAAAAAGGCTCTAATCCACATGAGTGGTTACACCCAAACCATTATACCATTGTAATACGGTTTATTGCAAACATGTGGGGAATTTGTATAGACACCGGGCATCATCCCAAAAATGATAGATAATAATCATTGAAAAGTTATCCAACCAATAGTACACATTATCCCTAGGATTCCCATGGAAGAAATTTGGCTGAACACAAGGATTAGAAGTAAAAGTAAGAAGAGTTGCACTATATGCTTTATTTCGTTAAAGTGGGACTTATTCAGTAAAGTGGGACATTAATTAGCATGTGTCCACATGCCATTTCCTAGTACTTAATTAATATTTATTAATATTTTTATCAGTTTTTTAATTTATTTTTTTATATTTCACAATATTATAACACAAAATCATATGAAAAGTTTTTAATTTATAAATTATAAAGTTAAAACTTCAATTTTTTATTGTTGTTATAAAAATGGCATGTGGCCACACACCATAAGTGGGATAATGAAAAGTCCCACTTTAACGAAATAAAGCATCTATATGCCATGAATGCTACTATCAATTGAGTGTAGTTGGTCAACTATAGCCATTTTGTATTAAGCAATTGCATCAATTGTTGCTCTAAAGTCAAAGGAGGAGTATGTTATTATAGCATGAAGATAAATAAAATGAAAAATGAAAAAAAGGGAAAAAATAAAAAAGTTCTAGGAATAAGAGAAATTTAAACAATGCAAATCAAAATCCCACTATACTAATATTAGCATATGTATAAATTGAACCTCATAATATAATATTGTTTTCTAGGTGAGAAAGGTAAGTGGTATAATTTAGGTCCTCTAAAAATTAGGCAAACCTCCTCTCTAAGCATTAGCTTTTTAGCAAAAGAACATTTGCTAGACTGTTTCATTGTCTTGTAATTATGCCAATGTTTCTTATAAAGCTAAATAAAATTATTACATAATACAATAATACATACAACCAAAGAGTCCCTTGTCATATTTGTGGCTGCTGCATCTTCAACCATGTTAATGATGGCTTCTACCGGCATGGATATAGTCTATAAGCCATAGAAGTTAGTCATAATTAATACATATAACACAAGAAGTAATAAACCTTCTTTCCATTTGTATTATTAGACACATTTGCCATTCACTCTTCATCTACCATTTGTGCTAGTGGTAGTGTAGGTTTTTATTTCTACATCTTGGTTTGCATTAAGTACTATTTTCTTGATATTTTCCTTAGGATGCCTATAAAAAAATAGCAATAAATATATAGTTTAGTTCACTTCTAATAGAAAAAACACACTTCAAAGAGCTCTAAAAATTACATTTTGTATTTTTAAAATTAAGCTAGGAAATATTAATCTATATATACAACTAAGCTACAATTGAACACTATCAAATTAGCTTTTATTCATTATCATTTTTTGGTATGGTATGGTGGCTTCTTCTCCATATGTCTCTTTTGCCATGTGATTCACTCTAAGCCTACAGAAAGAAAAACTAAATGGTTACAAATATTGTGTAAGGAAAACCTTTTCATTGGTTTTCTCATTGTCCTCATCCTAACAAAAGATGCTGAAAAATAGTAACAAAGAAATACTATGAAAAACTCATTGACTTGCATTAGGGAGTGGGTTATCTATTGGCTCATCTTTATCTTGAATAGCACTTCTGCAAAACTTGAGCTAATACATCTCTTAAGAAGTTTAGCTTTTGAGAAACAAAAAAAAATTCAAAATTAATGTATACTTCTTTCTTCAGTGCTGAGGACAAGTTTGGAATGCCATCCTACATCACAAACCCTTACATTGGCTAAAAAATTCAAATTTATAAGTGAAATTATCTTCATTCACAGAACTTTGTATAGTCAAGTATGTGTGTTATCATAAGCTTTCTCAACTTTTGTAGTTTCAATGATAATAAGTCATCACATCCTTGCTGGTTGAAGATCCTAGAAAAATGTTATTGAACTCTATAAAGTTTTGTTGAAATTAATATGGTTTATACCTAGCTTTTACCTAGAAATGCAACACAAACTTCCAATGGCAAAAAGTACTCAAAACATTTCTAGGACAGCAAGAAGTTTTATTATGAGCTATTGGAGGTATTTTCCAATTATCAGGTAGCATATGATAGGCAACTACAACAGAGAACAAGGTTGATTGAGCGAGTACAAAAAAAATTCAAAATTAATGTGTACTTCTTTCTTTAGTGCTAAGGACAAGTTTGAAATGCCATCCTACATCACAAACCCTTACATTGTCTAATAAATTCAAATTTACAAGTGAAATTATCTTCATTGGTACTTTGGTACTCTTCTTTATAGCATCTACCAACTTCTTAAGTCACTACTGCAATCCAATGAGGTTATCTCCTATTTTCAACTCACAAATACAAAAGATATTGTCTACTAAGTTTGTGCCTATATACTAGCTTAATCAGCCTTGTTCTCTGTTGTAGTTGATCATATGCTACCTGTCATAATACAACTTCTTGCTGGGTAAAGGTTGTAGAAGATCCTAGAAATGCTTTGAGTACTTTTTGCCCCTGAAAGTTGGTGTTGCACTTCTTGGTTGTTTGGGTGTACTTCATTAGCAAGTGGATGCTATCATCTTCATAGAGTGTTTTTGTCACACATGGGCCCCCCTTTTGCCACATACCTACTCCTCTTTGGCTCCTCCACTTCGAGATTTTTTAGCATCCTTACTAGCTGGATTGCATTGTCATCCATGTCGCATTGTCAAGTTCCAAAAGTTTCTAGAAAAGCTTTTGCTCTAGATCTTCTAGAGGAAGTCTAGTGACACTTTGACCACTCTCAATATAGTCCCACAATCCCTTATCAGACAGCCCTTTCAATCTTGTTAGTCTTGTTAGGATTATTATTACTCAAGGTCAAATGAAAATTATATTAAAAACCATATGATTAGACCAAAAAACCTACATTAATTCTGAGCTCAAATACTCTCGCTTAGTATTCTATACTCATAACTATCTACACTTGAAGCTTGTTCTTTTTTTTCTCCAAAATCAAGCTCATCTTTTATCCTATCTAAAATTGTGGTCTCTCCAAAGAAACTTTCAATCTTCATTGTTGTATCATTGGACACTTTTTCTGCTCAATTGCTTTGGGTATAAAGTTGACATCAAGCCACAGCTTGTACCTTGAAAATTATACATAAAAATATTTTAGAAAATATATAGTTTTTAACATTGTTTTACCAATTCTGATTGCTTTGCATGTCAAGTACCACCATGGTGGGTGTGGTCTGCTATAACATAGAACTAGTATGCTATCTTTGCCACTACTTCTAACTTGTCAAAATCGTGTGGATATTGTAGTGGATGTGACAGTTATCTTTAGCAACATAAAACAACATTGCATATGAGAATCCTAAACAAGAGAATTCTAAAATTAGATTAAAAAAAAAAAACCATTTGTAAACACAACTAGTATGTTGGGATGTGTAAGGACATGAGTTGAATCTTCTCTAAATCCTTCATAGCTTGGAGAAGAGCAAATAATCCTTGCCTAACTTAAAGAGCCAAACATTTTTTGAGGAGTAAGCATAATAGTAAATGAAATAAACTTTAGTCAAAGCAAAATCTCTAACTTCCTATATTTTATGCTTTTCTGATATTTTTATGAGCTCAACCCCAAAGCATCACAAATTGAACTATCCATCAGCAGATCTGGTATGAAAAAATGGTAAAAAGTTATCAAAATTTTTAAAATTTTAAAAAAAAATTATTCAGAATTTTTTTTAACCTATATATAATAAAATTTCTGTGTGTTGCAAACAACACTTGGTTTGCTTTATCTTATGTATTAATCCAGTTAATCAAATGGAAGTTTATAATTTTAAACATGTTCATAATTTATAAACACAAGATTAATCTTATTGAATATCAACCATTAGATAGTAGAATAAACTACAGTATACTAGAAGTGTTTAGAAAAATTTATAAATTATAAAAATGTTTATAAATTATAAATATAAAATTAATCTAAATGAATAACAACCGTTATATGGTAGAATATCCTAGAATATCTAAGCATATTCTAGGTATAGTCATTACCATCCTCTACAGATTTGCTTAAGAAAACCAAAAATTAAAAAACCATATATAGAAGCTATGAGGAGCTGAAATATCAAAGGTGAGGACAACATCAAGAACAAGATCAAGGAGAGGGTGGAGGAGCTTGACGAGGTTGCAATGACTCTGGAACCAGAGGAAGAAAAGAAGAAGAAAGAAAAGGCAATGGTAAGAAGTGGAAGAAAGCTACCATAGCTAGTGTCCAGGCAGGCTCCCGCAAGCAATGCCAAGGTGCAAGGAGTGAACAAGAGTAGCAGCAGTGGCAAGCTCAAGATGGGGTGTGGAAAGCTAAGCGTGCAGCTCCTGCCTTATTTGAGGCTCTGTTTCGCAGAGAATGTGGCTGAGAGTAGCCTTGCTTTCAAGACCTCCAATCCATTATCCATGATGGATTGATTGATTATCGTGGTGTCAGTCAACGCTATCTCATTACTGTTCTAATGAGCTCATTCTAATGAATTCATTGATGTGCGTAAAGAATTAGTGACTATCGTTGACTGCTGTGACTACTATAACCTACTACTTACGATAAGAAATGTTATTGAAAGTTTATATTTTTAAAAACAGGAAATTAAATGTCCAAAGTGTTTGTTTGAGACCTGCAATATAATCCCCCAATTCAATATCTCTCTGTTATCTTAATGAAAAGTTGTTGTCTTGTTGCCTTGTTTGAAACTTGCAAATCATAATCTCCTGATTCAAATGCCTCCAGACTTCTCCATCTGTTATAATTTCGATTGAATACCACGGACCTGCCTTTGCCTGTTGTGGTTTAAAAAAACCGAAGTAATTTGTTTCATGAATCTTCATTCTGTGCCTGCAACCTCAAGCGTATCATCAGTCCAAAACGACCGAACAGCGTACCTCCTTTCGCTCTAAGCTCCATCGAGCTCAAGCTTAACCTCCGAGGTGGAAGGCTAGTTCAAGCAGAAGTTATACTTTAACTCGAGGCATGGAGACTGTTTACCTTGGCATCTGAGTCGTGTACACGAGCAGCCAAATGCGAACCTCCAGAATTGGCCGAGTGATTTGCCTCAACCACGGGCTTCTCCAGATTCTCCACCTCACGGATCCTAAAAGTGCTCCATTAGTCACTTGTTCTATCTCTCAAGCATGAAGACTTACCTGTGGGAGTGCTTGTTGCCGGGCCTCCTCATCCCAAACCCGGTGCTTCTCCATCTCAGCTCGCTTCTCTGCTGCTACTGCAAGCCGAACAACGAAAGCATCTCCAGGATCGAACACAGTGCCACGATGAGACACTGGATCCAAAGCCTGTTCCTGGGCTCTTCGATCATTGCCGCTCCGACAAGCAGCACTCGACGAGAATGGATCCTCCGGGAGAGAACCTCTTGGCACCTTCTTGTGCTCGTCGATTCCGTGGATCGCTGCTGGTGGATCTCGTCCCAATGGTGGCGTCAGGCAGTCGTCAACCGAATCGGTAGCAGCACCATAGATTGGATTCATCTTGAGAAAAGCCGAAGGTGGCAGCCGCCTTGGAGGCCTCGCGAGTGGAGGATTGGCCACCTTTGTGCTGGGATTTAGCTGTGACGGTCGAAGGTGCTGCTTGCTCCTCTCTTGAACGAAGGAATTGAGCTTGTCCCGGAGCTCTGCGTCCTCAATCTTGCTCAAGGGAACGAGATACTCTCGCTGACTGCCGCTGCTGCTGCTGCCACCGCCAGGAAGATGGCTGCTCCCGACGTAGTGCACCAGGATGTCGTTCGCCTTCTTTCTTCTTCCCTTCACGAGTATCCAGATGCCGGTGATGATGACCACCATAGCAAGCAGGAAAAGGACGATGCCTGCCACAAGCAGCCCCGGTGTCGCAAACGCTGCCGCTGCTGCTGCTGCTGTTGATGATGACGACCCCAGAGGCGGAGCAATAGACAAGGGGCCAGGCAGAGGCGGCGATGAAAACGTGTGAAAGACAGGCGACCCTGGTTGCCATGTTATCGTGTCATGAGCGGGCCTTGGCCACCAAGTGGTTGTCCCAGAAGAAGGTGGCGGCCCTGTATGCTCCTTTGCTGGTGGAGGTGGCGGCGGCCCAAACCTCCTTGGTCGCCAAGTGGTTGTCCCGGACGAAGGTGGCGGCCCTGTATGCTGCTTTGCTGGTGGAGGTGGGTGCTGCTTTGCTCCTCCTCCGTGGCTGTGCTGCTTTGCTGCTCCGTGGCTTGCTGGTGGCGGTGGCGGACTGTGCTGGTGCTGCTTTGGTGCTCCATGGTTTGTTGGTGGCGGACTGTGCTGGTGCTGCTTTGCTGCTCCGTGGCTTGCTGGTGGAGGTGGCGGACTGTGCTGGTGCTGCTTTGCTGCTCCATGGCTTGTTGGTGGCGGACTGTGCTGGTGCTGCTTTGCTGCTCCGTGGCTTGCTGGTGGAGGTGGCGGACTGTGCTGGTGCTTCTTTGCTGCTCCATGGCTTGTTGGTGGAGGTGGTGGTGCTCCATGGCTGTCCTGCTTTGGAGGTGGTGCTCCTCCATGGCTGTGCTGCTTTGCTGCTCCATGGTGTTGCTCTGCTGGTGCTGGTGGAGGTGCCTGACTGTGGGCGCTGCTGTGAGGTGGCGGAGCTCCTCCCGCCCTCCTTGGCGATGGTTTGGGGGGCGGCATGCTACCTGGAGGTGGCACTCTCGTTTTGGGCGGTGTCGCGCTCCTGTGCCCTGGACGAGGCGGATGCACGCTCCTGTGCGCAGCTGGAGGCGGCGCCCGACGAGGCGGAGACGACGGCGGCACACTCCGACGGATGATGGTCGCCATATTTCTTGCTTACCGGATTCGCTTCCGAGAAACCTTTTTTTTAGGTCATGAAGGTTTAGTGCATATAAATGATTCTCGTACGGACACATTATCTGCAGCGCTTTAAAGTTATGATGTCCAGTTTTTGCGATCATGATGGAAGCAATATCAGTGTTCGGAATCTCTTTCTTTCATTAGCACATAATGCTCATTTGGTTCTTCCCCCAAAAGAACTGGAGCTCGTTGATAAACTCTCAGGCTCAATTCTAGGAGGAAGAGCAAAGATGAGAATGGTCGTTCACCATGATGCAATGCTCTGTGCGTAAGAATTTGATCAAAATCTCCACTCTGGAAGCTTATGTTCTTTGAAAATTCTTTTCATTGCGTTTTAGGTGTCGAAGATCGTGTATTGTGACCTTATCGACATACACAAAAGAGAGACAGCCCATAGCAATGGTTTTTATAGTTGAATTTGCTTTGATGGTGATTCTCGGAATCACTCTTCAATGGGCATATGGATCAGGTATGCCTGGCTAAAGAAATTGATGGTTAATATTTGATCATAGTAAAGAACGACTTAAATTACCACTATATTTATAGCTTCATTTTTGGACTTAAAATTTAGTCGTACTACATATTTTTTTGTTTATAACTATTATAATTGACTTAAAATTTAGTCACAAATAACTACTAAACATAATGACTATATTTTTTGTTTTATAACCATTTGTGAGGGCCAAGTGTACGGCTACAATGCTGTATACTAATATTAGCATAGTGGGATTTTGGTAGCCGTCGGATTGGTTTCAATCCGGACCACTCGCTCCTGTATATAAGTTAGGGTTTTTGGGCTAATTGATATGCACATTTCTGTATACCCTTTCTATATTCCATGCACTCACATTGGTGGAGATGAGGGGCACCTTTAATTGTCCCTGAGGAGTGTTTAGATTTGGGATTTCAGTTTAGATGTAACTTTTGCATTGTCTAGATCTAACTTTTTCCATTTCTTTTCTTTTGTTCTTTCCTTTCAGGATTTTGGTTTAGATCTAGCTTTTTGCATTGTCTAGATCTACCATTTCCTTCTAGCTTTTTGTTGTTTTTCTTCTTTTGCTCTTTCTTTTTCATTTGTCTCCATGGCAGATCAGCAACCTCCCCCTTTGACTCTGGAGCAGCAATTGGTACAATTGCTTGATGCTATGCGCTTGCAATTGAACAACCAAACTCAGTTGATGGCGGCGTTCACGACACATGGTACAACTCTTCCTGCTCTTGGTGCCAATCCTCGTGTTTGGCTGGAGTTCTTTCTTGGGAATCCTGGGGATGATGTGTACCATTGGTTTGATCACTTTACGGTGATTGCCACATATCATTCTTGGGATGATGCTCGACGTTTGCGTGAGTTTCCCACGTGTCTCCAAGGGACGGCATTACAGTGGTACAACAGTTTGGGAGCAGCCACTCGTGGGGATTGGAGTGTTCTTCTGGATGTCTTCAAACGCGCCTTCGGATATGCCAATGACTGTGATGATGCTTTTCAACAATTGCATCGTCTTTGCCAAGGGCCATCTGAGTCAGTGATGCAATTTGGTGTTCATTTCCTAAGTCTTTTGCTTCGTGCAGAGCCACATATGTCGGAGCAGATCAAGCTAGGAATGTTGTGGCCAGCACTTCGTCAAGATCTTGTCGGACTTGTGCATGCACTTGCTCCCGCCACCCTTGACGATGCTCTTTGCTTGGCACAACGTTATGAGACGTCGCCTCTTCCACTTCTCGCTGCACGTCCTTCAGCTCCACTTCCTGTGGGTGATGGTCCTATTCCAATGGAGGTTGATGCTGCTGCTGCTCAAGTCCAAGGTCAAGGGTGAGGACGTGGTCGTGGCCGTGATGTTCGCTGCTGGGCATGTGATGAAGTTGGTCATACTTATCGGCGTTGTCGGCGTTTTCCAGATTGGCGACCTCTATTTCCTAGGTGGAGACCTTGGCGTCAGCAACGTCCCGTTGGTGCTGCTGCAATGGAAGGTTTGGACACTGAGATGCATCCGGGAAACGAGGAGTCGCGCGAGTAACAGAGGGACCTTGCACGAATAAGTCAGTGACCCCTCCATCTTTCTTTTGGGAGTATCATCAAGGGGTTCACTCGGCACCAGTTCATCCAGTGTTTACTTTCCAAGCTTGTCTTTATAACAAGAGGTCTCCTATTATTCTCTCCATGTTGGTTGATACAAGTTCGAGTTTATCTTCTATTGCTCAACCTGTTGCCACACGTTATCGTCTACACTTGCATCGTGCGGCAGAACCAATTTTCATTCTTTATGGCAACAGCCGTACACATGCATGTGCATGGGATGAGGCAGACCTGGTTGTGCGTGTGGGCGATCTCGAGCTTGAGTTGCAGTTATGGGTGGTGCCGAGTCAAGCTTTTGACCTCATTCTTGGTATGGATTGGTTGCAACGCAATCATGCCAAGTGTGACTTTGAAGCTTCTCCCTCTTGTCTCATACTTCCTTATGTTTCATCCATTCCTCTCACTTTTGTACCTCTTCATCCCTCTACTTCTACCTCTGCTTCCATTACTTTTGTTTCCCCACTATTTCCTCCTGTGTTTCCATCTTGTTCTGCTCTTCCCTTTTCCGATCCCTTCGATGATCTTTGTGTTGCAACAGTTGACCGGCTCATGAAGGAGTATTCTGATCTCTTTGACTTTGACCTATCATCTGGAGCCACGATTGCCACACGTCATCCGATTCCAACTGGGGATGCTCGTCCAATCAAGGTTCCTGTTCGTTGTCGGTCACCAAAGGAGATCAAGATTTTATGTGCAAATGTCAAGGAGATGTTGGAGAAGGGTGTTATTCGGAAGTCACAAAGTCATTGGGCATGTGAACCTTGTGATGAAGCCTGATGGGAGTATTTTTTTCTGCATCGATTATCGTCCGTTAAACGACATAATGATCCCGGATGTGTACCCTCTTCCTCACACTGCTGATCTCTTGGATCGTCTGGGGCGAAGTGATTGGTTCACCAAGCTAGATCTTGCTTCTGGGTATTGGCAAGTACCGATGGCCGAAAAAGATATTCCTAAGACTGCTTTTCGTACACCATTTGGTTTGTATGAGTTCTTGGTGATGCCATTTGGTTTGAACAATGCTCTAGCAACTTTTCAACGGATGATAGACGAGGTTCTTTGCGATATACCGGAGGTGACTACTGACTTTATTGATGATGTCTTGATCCACTCGGAGGGGACGTGAGAGGAGCACGTTCGTGATGTTTGTAAAGTGTTGGATCGGCTACGCGACGTTGGTTTAAAGTTGAAGCGGTCAAAGTGCGTGTTTGGATCCAAGGACACAACTTATCTTGGGTACCGTATTTCTCATGAGGGTTTGCAAGTTGATCCTGACAAACTTGTGGCTGTTCTAAATTTCCCTACTCCGAAGTGTGT